TTTTACAACCATGATATATATTAAACGTAACATTGTGAAACATTGAATTAAAAATAACTTTAGTCAAGCCTCACTAATCAAAACACACATATAAAATGAGACGGAGGGACTATGAATTAAATAGTTTGAATATTACCTTCTTTTTGGGAAAAAAAAAATTACTAATTTGGCTAAAGGTTAATCAGGGATGAGAATTTCTCATCTCTGATGGCGGCGAAGATAGGGATGGGGATAGGGAGTATATTCCCCACCCTCCTCTTCCCACTCCCACACCCCTGTTTACCATCTCTACATTCAATAGATTAAAGATCAAAATTTTAATGTTACAATAATAAATGATGAGCTTGATGCATGTTCTTTGTCACATACATGTGGTAATGTTCGAAATTTGACTAAAGGTTAATCAAGGATGTGGATTTCCTATGTCTAATGGGGGTAGGGATGGGGATGGGGATGGGGATAGGGAGTATATTCCCCCTCTCCCACCCCACCCCCAGGCCACCCTCTCGGCCTCTCCCCATTTCCCCATCCCTGTTTACCATTTCTACATTCAACAGATTAAAGATCAAAATTTGAATGTGACAATAATAAATGATGAGGTTGTAAACTTTTCTCTGTCACACACACGTGGTAACGTTCAAAATTTATAAATTTATCCATAAAGTTAGTGGTGAAAACGCATTACATGATGATTGACTAAATTTAAATAAAATTAAAACCATGACCAAAATATAATAAATTATTATTTATCAAAAACTTTTAAAAAAATTACAAAAATTGTGGAATCAACCTAGTATTAATTTCAGAAAAATTTTCCGATGTTGATCGATACCATAACCTTTTGTGCCAAGCACAATCAAAAGTAAATGTAAGAAATTTTAAACTTAATATCGAGTGTAATATTTTCTCCAAAAAAAAATATATATATATTAAGTGTAATAAAGATATCATTGCCAAGTACCTTGTTCAGATGACATGTAGTGACCTTTCTCATGTAGGAGGTGAAGAGATCGAGCCTCACTGGAGGCGTTGTTGATTCTTTGTACTTTATTAGGCTAAGAAAGTATATTTAAACTGATACTACAATGTAATAGAGTCAGTAATATTAAAAAAAAAAAAAAAAAAAAAAAAAAAACATCATTGACGAGCATGGTAGACTTTTCTTAATTTAACCATTAAAATTTCTACATGAAAAAAGAAATTCATGTGAGGGATTAAAAAACGAAACTGAGAGAGGCAGTGGTGGGTCATGGGAGTCAGGCCCTGCCCATACCCTTTCATACCTACAAAATAAAAGGAGAGGTGTTGATTTAACCATTCTAAACTACTAGCAAAAGGAGACACTGCCACAAATCTCTTTGTCTTTAGCCGTAGAAGATGGTGCAACATAAATACTCTCATTATTTTATACGCATTTATTTTTATTAATATAAGTTTATACTCTACTTTCCGGTGTTGGATTTGATTAATAAGATTTTATTGAAATTATTCTAAATTTTATTTTTCATGACATTATGTTTATTATTAGCAGGGTGGGTTTTTAGATTTTTGTTACTCTGTTCTGATAAATAAATAAGGCTCAACAACAATAACAACAATAACAACAACAACAACAACAACAACAACAATAATAATAATAATAATAATAATAATTACTATTATAATTATAATAGTGTGCGCAAACTCGCAATACAAAAGGATTAAAAAAATATAGAGATGTCCAAAGCTAAAGCAACACGTAAGTTTCAAACCTCTAATCTCCAAGTTGAAATACGATAAACACAAGTTCCTACCATTTCTTCATAAAACTTTTTTAAGTTTAATTGAAAACTTTTAGTTTTTATTTCTAAACTAGTTAGGTAAAAATTAAATATTGGGCCTCTAAAATTTGAGACCTATGCTATGGCAATTTATATCCTGCACCACAGCGCGTGTTGCATTGTGCGCCCAGATGCAAAACGACTGTGTTTCATTTTATATTTTTTTTGAAATTTCCCGCCCCAGTATTTGGCAGTTAATTTTTCTTTAAAAAAAACCCATATAAAAAAATGTACATAATGTTACTAGAATACACATAATTGTATACATGAATGTACATAATTATATAACAAAATATACATACTCTTTTTTAAATGATAATACACATAATCTAACATAATAAACATAAACTTTTAACATAATACACATCAACTCTTAACATAATACACAAAAATTTCCTGATTCGGATGTACATAATTGTATAAAAAGAATGTACATAATTGTATAAAAAATGTACATAATTGTATTAACAAATATACATAATTGTATGAACAAATATACATAATCACAGCAACTTCCTACCGCGCCTCCCAAAACGACGTCGTTTTGGGAGGCGTGCAGCGCACAGTGCTACGCACGCCGTGGTGTAGGGTATAACGATTGCTATGCTATAGCTCAATTTGCACAGCCAAAATCTGGTCCTGATTATTAGTATATAAAATTTATATATTTATGAACTATATTAAAAATACTATAAAATACACAAAAAAATTAAATTTTAAAATAATTAAATATATTAAATAAAATTAACAAAGAATAAAGAGTTTGTTTGACGAAGTAAGATAAGTAAAATGTGACAAAAGGAGGTATAACATATTTGTTTCCTAACATGCTTAATTAGATAAAAGAAAAACGATTCACAATATAGCTAGGTACTAGGTTGTGTTAAATTGTCTTGCATTTGTTTAAATTAATCATCAACATTTTTTGTTAAGTCAATGTAATATATAATATATAGACAAGTGTATAAATTTTACTACTACTTTATAGATTTTATTTTTTTTAATGCTACTAACTCTATTACAATATAGTATCGGTTCATAACTACTTTTAAAGAGCTAATAACACTTCAACTGAGACTCAAACTCACAACCTTCCATATGTGAGTTTAACTCGGTGCGCGCCATTAGACCACAAGGTCTTATTTTTTTCATATTATTTTTGATATTTTTATCCTGATAAGACTTGTATGTATTCATTCCAATGGGGCATCTCGAATTTGACTTTCACTCAACGAGGCATAGATAAAAATTCGACTTTGTTAATATTTTCAGAGTTTTTTTTTTTTTTTTTTTTTTGGGAATAGTTAACATGCTTCTTTTCAGAGAAAATTTCAATTTTGGTCCACTGACTATAGAAGGTGTGTTAATTGCAACACTTGACTTTCAAAAATGTTAATTTAGTACTTTGACTATGCAATTTCTATCAATTTTGGTCACGCCGGCCAAATTGACGACCAAATCTCACCGGAAAAATTTAATAGGTCAAATAATAAGGGTATTTTAGTCCTTTTACTCACCACCCCTTTCTTCTCTGGTAGCTCCAACAAATTTCCGGCAACTTCTTCTCCGATGAACTTCACCGGAAAAATATAAAATGTCGTGTCTCTTCACTGCTTCGTGTGCTGTCTTGAAGAATTCTAAGGTGGCGTCGAGTCCGAGCATTTGCTCGTACAGATCGAAATGCAGCAGTTCGTTAATGACATCCCAATGGATAAACTCACCTCTGTATCTACTCATAAGGCTTTCAATTCTTGACTGAACTGTTGATTTCAGCTCTGGACCTGTCAGGTTCAGAACCAATTTTGGTGTGCGTTTCGGATCTTCCCAGAAAATGTTTCATTTTCTTTGCTTTGGATTTACGTTTATTGAATCTCCAAGTCAATTCTTTGTTTTTACTTGTGTTTAATGGGTTGTATGATGTTTTTTGTTATTGTTTTTTAGGTTCGATTGTTTGGTAGTCAGAAAGGGGCTTCCTTAGAGCTGGTCGGATAGGAGCGGTTGAAGGAGGTCGTCGCCGGAAATGGAGAGAAACTCATCGGAGAAGAAAGGGGTGAGTAAAATGACTAAAATACCCTCATTATTTAATCTATTAAATTTTTCCGGTGAGATTTGACCGTCAATTTGGCCGGCGTGACCAAAATTGATAAAAATTGCATAGTTAAAGTACTAAATTAACATTTTTGAAAGTCAAGTGTTGCAATTAACACACCTTCTATAGTCAATGGACCAAAATTGAAATTTTCTCTTCTTTTCATATGTATTAGTGATGGGATCTTGAATTAGTGTAAAAATATTATTTTTTTACTATTTAATTTTTATTTGTAATTATAAATTAAAAGGAAAGTTTAAATTGCTAATTATATAGTGTTGACTTCTCATCCCAACAAAATCGAAAAAGCTTTTCTGATTACAGAAAATGTTATGACTCAAAATATTAGATGTAACTATTCATGTAATTTGTTTTGTGACAAAAGAATAATAATTCAATCACTACTTAAAAATGTATATTAGAGTAAATCAATTGATCTATGTATGAGAGATTGAGCAGTAAATACTAGATGTATAATGACAAATTATTATATAGACCATAAAAAGTACATTTTTAATATATTAAAAATATATTATTTGTGTATTGACCTTTCCTGAATACAGTGTACATTTTTAATACTCATATGTCCCATTTTATCTGTCATACTTACTATTCATTAGTCAAATTAACTCTTTCTTCTTTAGTTGTTTTCTTTAGTATTTTTTACTCATTTTTAAATTTGACTTTTTGTGTTTAATAGTCCTTCTAGTGTAGTTTCTAAATATATAAATTTTGTATACTAATACTAAACTTAATATTATAGAAATTGAATTAAAAATAACTTCAGTCAAACCTCATTAACCGAATCAGCCACATAAAATGAGACGTATGGAGTATATTAAAAATATATTATTTGTGTATTGAATGTAAATTATATAAAATAATGTATTGTCAATACTCAAATATATAGTTTTTGTACACAACTAATATAATTTTTATTTATGGTGTGATGATGATGGGATGGATAATTAAACTTTAGTATTATTGGCAAAGTAATAAATAAGAAGGGTGAATTAAGGGTGGAGATAATCCAAAAAATGATGTTGTTTAGAAGATGTTGAAATAGTGAAAGCGAGAGAGCGAGGGGGCGGGGGGAGAAATAGACAAGGGAGAAGAAGAGAGGAGAGAGGGAAGAGGGCCACTTATGTTACCTTTTTTTATGATGCACGCATCCGTGGCAGAACAGAGAGAGAGAGAGAGAGGAGGGTACACAGTACTACTGCTGCAGAAGCGCAAGAGAGAGGGAGGGAGGGAAGGCCCAAGGGGGGATTCATACTTCACAGTAGCACCGGCCCCTAAAGCCTAGGGACTAGAGATTACACAGTAGCCACATAAAAAGAGAGCCACAGAGAAGAAGAAGAAGAAGAAAGGGTAGTGTTGTTGTTGTTGTACAGAGTTTTTGAGGTGCAGATATGGAGCTGAAATGGTGATATGGGTGAGTTTGCTAGGGAGAGGGACTGGTGGTGTTTTCTCCTCAGGGATAAGCCATTGAAGAAGAGCTCCTTTTTGTTCAAATCTTAGGGGGGATTTTTTTTTTTTTTTTTTCTGGGTTTCATTTCCAAGGCAAGCCTTTTTCTTTTCGATGGATCTTGGTTTTCTTTATGGGTATTTCTGTTGCTGATTTTTTTTTGAATTTTTGTTGTGAAGATGATAGGAATGCAATATAACTTGCAAGGGAAAGGTGTTGTTAGCGAGGTTGGTCGGTTTGGGTCTTCGATTTCTGCATCTTCTTCTGTGCCTCAAGATGCCAAGTTGAAGAGAGATGGAAGCTTTGGGAGCAATGAACCCATTTCTGTGCTGGACAAGAGGAGGAGCCCAAGCCCTTCCACTTCCACATCCGCTTCCTCTTCCTCTTTTGGCGGCACGGCGGTGAAGGACGCCGCCGCTCCGGCCGCCGTGGGCGACGGGCCGAAGGAGGAGTGGGTGGTGGGGGAATTGCAGCCTCTTGTTCCTTTTGAAAAATTTGGTCTTGGATTGGAAGATTGGGAGTGTTTCTTGTCTGAATCTGGGGGTGGGGGTTCCGACCAGTCTATTCTCCGGTGGGTTTCCGGCGCGGAGTTTGAGGATCCCTCATTCAGCTTCAAGCATCATGAGATCCAGGGCAATGCGGGTTTGGGTGATGCTGATCAAACTACTACTGGATTTGGTGCCCTAATTGCTTCAGATAATTATGTGAGTTCTTCTGTTATTCCCATTTCTGGTTCTCCCTTTTCTTTCAATTCCAACATTGGGAAATTTGGTTCTAATTCTCAAGACTCCAATCTTAATTTTACACCTAACAATCTGGTGCCTGTAATTCCTGGCTTGAGTTTTCAAGAACCTGTAGTAAACCAAACCCAGAATCCCACAAACAGAAATGTGTTTGTCTCACAATCCTATAGCATTCTTCAAGAACAACTGCCCCCTCCTGCAAAGCGCCAGAATTTGGAAATCTCGTCGAATTCTCAGCTACCCGAAATTCCTTTAGTTGGTATGAGTCATGGGTTGTTGCTTGGGAAACAACAAGATTTTGCCCAACAGGGAATGATGGGCTCGGGGCAGAAGCCATTGCTGGTGCCCAAGCAAGAAGAGATGGGTAATACCAATTTGATGATGCCAAACCACCAGCACCAGCAACAACAGGTTGTGTATGACCAGATTTATAAGGCGGCAGAGTTGATTCTGACCGGGCAATTCTCACACGCGCAAATGATATTGGCGCGGCTCAATCACCAGCTCTCTCCTGTTGGAAAATCGTTGCAGAGGGCTGCTTCTTATTTCAAGGAGGCTTTAATGTTGCCTCTCCTTATGCCCGGGTCTTCCGTCTCTCTGCCTTCGAGGGTTCCCTCGCCGGTTGATTTTGTGTTCAAGATGGGCGCTTATAAGGTCTTTTCTGAAGCGTCCCCGATCCTCCAATTCATGAACTTTACATCCAACCAGGCACTCCTCGAAGCCCTTGGCGATGCAGAATATGTTCACATCTTCGATTTCGATATTGGATTTGGTGCCCAATGGTCCTCTTTCATGCAAGAGCTTCCTAAAAGGAACAACGGAGGACTCAAGATAACAGCCTTTGCTTCTCCTTCAACTCACCATCCCCTTGAAATCAGCCTTATGCACGAGAGTTTGACGCAGTTTGCCAACGATGTTGGTGTCAAATTCGAGCTCGAGGTCGTAAACTTGGATACATTTGATCCCAGTTCTTATCAGTTGTCCTCTTTCCGACCATCCGGGAGCGAGGTAGTCGCTGTGAATTTCCCCATTTGGTCCCTTTCAAACCATCTCTCCGCTCTTCCTTCACTGCTTCATTACATAAAGCAGCTCTCGCCAAAAATCGTAGTTTCACTGGAACGAGGATGCGAACGAACTGAACTTCCTTTCGCTCACCACATTCTCAATGCCCTAAAATACTACGAGGTCCTCTTCGAGAGTATGGGTGCTGCAAAGGTGACTCCCGACATGGCAAACAAGATGGAGAGGTTCCTCTTCCAGCCTAGCATCGAGAGCATCGTGCAAGGGCGCCTCTGTTTCCCCGATCAAATGCCCCCATGGAGAACCCTGTTTACTTCAGCTGGCTTTCTACCCGTGGCATTCAGTAATTTCACCGAAACTCAAGCCGAGTGCATCATGAAGCGAAATCAAGTTCGAGGGTTTCACGTGGAGAAGAGGCAGGCATCGCTCGTGCTGTGCTGGCAACGCCGAGAGTTGTTGACCGCCATGGCTTGGAGGTGTTGATCGATGTAGCTTCGTTTCGTCAAAGCTGGAAACAGCGGTTTAACTAAATATGTTGTTTCATAGCAATTAATAAAATCTTAAAACTCGTTGCATCTCTGAGTGCTGCTGTGATGTTTCTAGTTTGCTACTATCTAAGTAGTATTTTGACCGTAGACAGATATTCTTGTCGAAAACTGAATGTTTTCCTTGTGGCATGAGCTATTTGGACATCTTTGTTATGTACTATTATTGCCTAGTATTAGTTGTAACAAGTTGCTGCTATAACTTTGCATTTTTAGTAGTTTTTTACATATTTATCGCGATAGAAACCGTGATTCTTCATACCAAATCGTGCTTATTCAATTATATTGCAGTTATTGTCTTCATAGTATGTTTGTTTGTTTGTTGTGTTCATATGTTTATGTTGTTTTTAGTTATGTCCATATATTTACCTTGCCAATCTGGCTTCAAAGTTTTGGTATTGAAAGTGGCATTTGGAAGGAATGGTTGATTGTAGGGGTCCAAGTTTACCTGTCATTGTTTATAATAGCCAAGTGGGGGGTCCAAGTTTCTCAGCTGAGTTTAGAATGGTCTTCCCTTCTAGTAGCAATTATATGATGAGCCTTTTTGACTCATCTCCTTCAAAATGATTTTTATGATCCACAATTTTCTCATTTTGTGTATTGACTCTCGGGGTCTTTTAGGGACTAGATCTTTTAGGACAGGTTGAACCGACCTGTCTTTTAAGGGTAACAACAACCTTATATAGTCCTAGTAGACTAGGTCTTTAAGGATGGGATGAGTCGACCTCATAGGTTGACCTCCAACTTGTCAAGTGCATTGAATTACTTTGGTCATACACTCATACCTAATGGGGTGTTTGGTCGGTTGTAATTGGAATTCTTTTTCCAATATTATTCAACATACAAGAAAATTACATTGTTTGGTTGAAGGGAATTGTAATTCATGACTCCACCCGGTCACCCTTATGAACTACAATTTAGCATGGAAAGGAAAAATATAAGAAAAATAACTCTTTTGTCCTTAATTATTATTATTACACAATGGTATTTTAGTCATTATATCATTCCTTTTCTCCATTCTCAATAATTGTATTCTTCCCAACTAGTAATTTGATTTGGAGTTAATAACCAAAATGGTCCCTCGACTATGTTGTAATTACCAATTTGGTCCTCGATTACCATTCTTATCCAATTAAGTCTTCAACTATGTAATTTTTATCCAATTTAGTGCTATGTTAATTTGACTGTTTGTTGACTATCAAAAAGTGGAATAAAATTATAATTTTACAAGCTTTCTCCGTCCTCCCCATTTAGCAGCGCCAAACCATGCAGCAATACGCTCCGATCGACTTTCGACCGTAAAAAAATCGCTGGAAATCAAATCTTTTGGCTCTCCGATGCACAACTACTACTTCAACACTGCCAGTTTTGGAAGCCGATCGGAGCTTATTGCTACATGGTTTGGCGCTGCTAAATCAGGAGGAAGGAAAAAGCTTATAAAATTACAACTTTATCTCCACTTTTGATAGTCAACAAACAAACAAGTTAACATAGGACTAAAAAATTACATAATTGAGGACTTAATTGGGTAAGAATGATAGTTGAGGACTAAATTGGTAATTATAGCATAGTCGAGGGATCATTTTGGTTATTAACTCTTTGATTTCTTACTTTATTCTCATATTGTTCTTTTACCACTGAATTACAATTCCTTTCCCCCAACCAAATGCTCCGTAATTACTTCGTTAGTATGTCTTGACTCTAGAGCGGGTAGTGTTCAACGTGTTTGACGTTCTTTCGCCTGAACGATTTAATGGTTCAGTAGGCAGTATTTAGGAGAAGAGACTTATGTTCGAACCTCGACGGTGATAGTTTGGGGATTATGCCAAAAGTGGGCAGATCTTTTGTGCGCACCGGCATTTGGCCCTGTCTGCTGAGTCATTGAGTCACCATGATTTACATCCTCCCAAATGTTCCGTCGAGTCGAGGTGTGGGGACCCTTGAGGTTGGGATTCAACCTTTTGGGAGAAGATTTAATTGTTTAATGATTATTAATAATTTTGTTTAAACAAATTGATGAGTTTTTGTTATAATAAAATTTGACACGCGATGTCACATTATTGGTAGTATATTTTAAAAGGTTAGGTGTTTTCAATAATTGTAAAAATGAGGTGGGTAGTTTGATATTAGATTAGATTATGCAGGAAAGTCATTATCGTATGGAGTTTGATTGTATTAGCTATCATTGCTTTCATTAAATTTATTGTATCCACTTAATCAGACCACATGGGGGTCATGTTTGGTTTGCCAATATTATAGTAATTTCCTTTTTGTCTGCCGTTTTAAAACTTCTCCAAAGTCAATAATCTATTTTAGCCTTTTGCATTTTTGTGGTAAGTTGCATATATAGGTGGCTTTGGAATTCATAATAACAACTCACAAAATTATTGGTTGCCCACATCTTATTATTTTAAGGATACTTCCATCTAATCTTGTACAATTTGATGTTTGACTCATTTCATTAACTTGTAACAAAATTAATTAATTCATGTCTACTTAATATGAAGAATTGTAACACTTATGTAAGATGATATAAATTGTACCAGAAGTAACATTATTCATATTTTAAAATGTTTGATATTAACCTAACAGTTTGAAGTGGTTGGTAAGTCGAATACTATACAACTATAAAATTAGAGGTGTGTTGAATTCTGATGATCAGTTTGATAGTGCGGGGGATCGTCGGATATTGGATATCATATGCATAAAAAGAAGAAGAAGAAGAAGCGAGATTTATATTAACTGTTTTTTAGTTAAGCAGTCATAAATAACATATTAGTTAGAAAGGATGATTGCATCCCAATCTCGGAGAGTTCCTACTGCTTCTACCCTAAAAACTTAGTGGGGAAAATTAATCACAAGTTGCATCTCAACTTAGTTCATAGTTTCCCAAATGTTTATATACTAGTGCTCACAACAATTTGATCGACCAATTGAGCTGTGTCTTAAAGACAAATAGTATATTTGTTAGATGAGAATGAAGATTGACCCACCTTTGAACACATAGTTACATAGATATAATGTCATGTGAGGGTGAGGGGTTGGGATTATATTGTTGTCTATAAAATAAATTATACTTTGTATTTTTATTTTTTTTTTGGACAGTAATTTGTTGAGTTTCATCGCTCTCATCTCTATCACATGTATGAAAAAATAAAGGTTGGGAGCAATTCAAAGAGAAGATGAAGCCAAAGAACCAGGACAAGGATTAATCATAGCAGTTAACCTATTGCCTCTTTGGTCTCTATTCTTAAAATAAGAAATAAAGCAACAACAAATGACATGTCCCTTTCCTCGAAAACAAACATACAAAATATCCTTACATACAGTTAAGAGTAGTCAATAGTAAGTATTCATGGAATATTATTTACTTTTGACTCCATAACTTACACACTTTTATTTTATTTTTTTAAATGTTATTTTTAATCCATATTCAAACAAACCAACCTCAACCAACGGCGGCAAATTATACTGTGGACCGCAGTCCATAATGTATTATGGTTCAGGCATCACATATGTAGTGCAGTTTCATTTCAACACAACTACAGTATCATTTTGATATAACTACAGTTTCGCTTGACAATGGCTCTGTTTGGCAAACCTAGCTGAAAAGCTATAAGCTAGGAGCTGAAAGCTGAAAAGGAGCTGAAAGTTGAAAATCTATAGGCTCGGAACTGAAAACTGAAGAGTTGTTAAACTAGCTGTTATGATTGAAAGTGTTTGGTAAAATTAGCTTTTTGATAAGATGATAAATGTAAAAAGACTAAAAAGCTAAGGACATCTTCATAAAAGTTAAATTAGTTTGTTTACATATTAAAATTTAACATTTTATCTTTAAAAAAAATTAACATTTTGAAATAAAACTATTAGCATAATCATGATCTAGCATCTCATTATGAAGTAACAATATTGTTGCAAATCTCATAATAATAATAATAATAATAATAATAATAATAATAATAATAATAATAATAATAATAATAATAATAATAATAATAATAATAATAATAATAATAATAATAATAATTGCGATGAAAGTTGCGGATAAAGGAGAAGAGAAAAGAATTTTAATTGGGAAGGGTAAATTATGTCATTTCTTTAAAATAATAAGGATAAAGATGGAAAAAAAAAAGTTAGGAAGCTAGGAGCTTATTTTGAAACACTACCTAAGGTAGCGTTCCAAAATAAGCTCTTATTTTAAGCCAGGAGCTTATTTTGGGAACATTACCGAACAGAGCTTATAACTTATAAGCTCTGCCAAACAGAGTCAATATACACTCAAATATGTGAAATTGTTATTCAGTTTCATTTTGTATACACTGCAGTTTCATTTCAACACAACTATAGTTTCATTTCAATTCAATTGCAGTTTCATTTGATAACATAATAAAAATAATACGTAAAATAATATCAATTTAGATACACTATACTGTCTATCGTTTTGGACCATGGTCCACAGTATAATTGCTGACCAACAACCACTCCCATGAACCATGACCTTAAATCTTCCTTGTTCACTCAACCCAAAATTGTATCTGAAAGTTATGTTTGTTTTTGTTTGTAATTGTAATACTTCAGTTTGAACCATTCTATTCGAATCAAACTGTAACCCTAAATAGTCGGGTCTTTGCCTTGTCTAGATTCATTCGATATGTTTAGTTTATGGAATAGATTCTGGATAATAGAATAAAGATTCTATTTCATTTTTTTTACATATTGCTAAACACTATAAGAAACAAAATACCTACAACTCAAATATTTATAAATTTCGGTATTTTATCTACGAAAATTTGTTGGTATACATAAATCTGATTTTTCTTGCGATTGCAGTGAAAGGATTAGAGTTCATGAATTGTCTTCCAGTGGTTATAGGAATATAGATAAAATAATCATTCAAAAAACATAAATACCATACACACACATAATAACAACAACAACAACAACACAAATATAAATTAATAATTAAGAAAAATTTAGACATTAACAAAAATAAGTTATTCTTAAAAATTCAAGGAACTATTTCCCATGAAAAGAAATATCTAATTCTCGTAAATACTATTCATGTGAATTAGTGAATAAAAAAAACTTATCAAAGAACATAGTAGATCAATTTTTAGTAATAGTATCTGACTACAGACTCATTCTGTCAATTAAACATGCTTCGTTATAGTTTCCGTTGTTGTCATATATATATATATATATATATAT